AAGGCCAATCCCTAATAACTGCCATGGAATAGTGCCACCTGGTGGCTGAACGACCGTGAAAATTGGCAGAACTTGCAGAAATTACAGGTCATTTATTTTGTATTCTCAGCTTAGCACGCAAAGTACTAATTGTAACGCTGACTAGAATGTACAATTTAAAATTATCTTCCTGCTCCACATTTTCACAATGGGGGGTTTCCTACAGGCCAGATGGGCAACTGTGCGCTGCGGAAATGGGACTATACACAGATTTAATTTTTTTGTTTATTTCTGCAAAATATAACAGGCAAGAATAGCAAGACTTTTTGATTTTCCATTAAGGATATAAATATTTATTTGTTACAATCGGCCTTAATGGTGATCCTATGAAATTTCCCCACATAGGAAACAGGGCATTACAAAATACACATAGAAGGGAATTTATCAAAAACTGGAGCGGACAAAACTGTAAACAACATTGGTTGCCATGCACAACTGAAGCAGATGTGCATAGCGACCAATCCGCCTCTTTCTTTCATTTTAAAATCTTAAAGGAGAACTATGGGGTTAAGGCTTTTCCTCATAGTTCTCCTTAGGGCATTCTCCTTTAACTGAAAAGACTGAAGAGAGAAGCTGATTGGTTGCCATGCACAGCAGCTCCAGATTTTGTCTGCTCCAGTTTTTGATAAATTCCCCCCATAGACTCTATACACACAAGTCTATTGGTATTAATATGTATCTGCGTATCCTCCATCCTATCCATATGTGAGCCCTATAGTCCCTGCTACGTACCCGGTATTTAATTCCAATGCAATAAAGAATCAGAAAACAAATACAAGCCTTCCAAGTTGTGTCCGCTTCTGATAACATAACATTGTTATAGATGTGCACTGTGTGTCTCAGGTCCTATCTATGTGTTTAATTCTTATATGCATTGGTGGATATAAAATGGATTAAAATTGCCAATACAGTGCAAAAGATCTCATAATGAGCCCACCTCTCCTTCTCCATTAGCTCATCATCACTGCTCAATAGAGGTGAAGGAGGCATGGACTAGGGCCACCTGTGGGTCCTATTTGACCACCAGCGGCTCCAGATTTGAAGGAACTATTGCAAAATCCTTCACGCTACACACCACAAAGTTTTGATTGGGGATCACTCATTTTCAGAATGATCTGTCAATTGATATTTGTTTTACACAAAATAGCTATGAGGCTCTACCTGCATTCAGACGATGGACTCTAAAGGAGTTCTTTTACCGTTGCATGGAATAGGACCAGCAGTGGGTCACCTGAGATCCAAAACTGAAGCTTCTTTTCCATAACCCCATCATACTGCACACCACAGAGTTTGGATTGGCGAACACTCCCTATAAAAGTTCTCATACTGATCCCTCAACTGATATGTCCACCTCTCCTTCTGCATTAGCTCATTTACTTCAAGGGCCAATCTCCTAATATGAGCATTTACTGCTTTTCCACAAAATAGCTATGAGGCTCTTTCTTGCATTCTGGAGATGGGATGCAAGGGAGTGGTCTTGCCATTTGATGGAGGTGGAAGTTGCATGGAATAGGACCACCAAAGAGTCACCAGGGATCCAGATTTGAAGGTACTGTTGCATAACCCCTCATACTGCAGACCACAAAGCTTTGATTAGGGAACATTCCCTATTCAATATCTCATACTAATCCCTCAATTGATACAGCCACTTCTTCTACCCCTTAGCTCCTTTACTTTAAAGACCAATCTCTTAATGTGATCACCTTATTGGTTTTCCACCGAACAGCTATGAGGCTCTTTCCTGCATTCAGGCAATGGACTGTAAAAGGCAATCTTGATGAAGGTGGGGGTTGTACGGAATAGGACCATCGGTGGGTCATCTGGGATCTGGATTTGAATGCACTGCTGCATAACCCATCATACTGCAGACCACAAAGGTTTGATAATGGAACACTCCCACCACAGATGTACCTTTCTCTCCACATTCCAAGTCATTGTGTTTCCAAACAGCTCTAACTCTCTTGGTTCGGCGTCCCTGAACTTCCTGCCCAGTACAAGATCACAGAGCAAGCACAATCTCCAGCAGCTGTCCACCTACTAGCTTGGAGAAGGGAGGAGTGGGGAGAGTAGCATCTTGCCTTGTTGTGTCTGTGTATTAGTGGAGACACACGCAGCTTACTAGCACAAACAAGGGTGGCTCCATAGGACCCTGCAAGGGAAAGGAGCCGCCCTAAAATAGGATATCAGGGCCAGTGCTCAGGGGACCAGCTGATACTACAGGAAAGCTAAGACATCAAGTAGCAGCGTCCATTAAAAGTGATTTAATCTGCATTTGACTTTAATATCACTTTAAAGTTGAAATACGGCCTCATAAAATCAAACATGCATTAAAAATGTTCTGCATCCTCCAAGTACTTCCATTAAACCGTTCCCGAATGGGGATGGTGTCCTAATGTAGAAAAACTCTCTACACTCCCCCAACTCTCATATCTATTCAGCGATGTGGCTGGCTGAGGTTCAGTAGCCTTCCTGCTGTCGCGGTGTTCCCGATCCTCCGGCTCCCTCTGCCCTGTGCTATCTGGCAGGCAGAGCCCACTATCCATGTCCTGGCGAGAGACGCTGAAGTTATATTTCTGTTACTGGCAGCTTGTTCGGCTGGAAACATTTTATATCGCATCTCTCCTGCGTTCCCCCTCACACAATGAGCCCGGCTCGCTCTTGTCACAGTGACAGCCAAGAAAGTTTGTGCAATCTGCCATGCGTCTCTCCGGGGGATGTCAGCTATGTGCCATGAACTCCCCAGTCTATCCACCACTTCGCGCGCTGTGCTGCGCAGATGGCTTGTGCCAAGATGCCAGATAGTATCAGAGCGTTAACCCGTGCGAGCCCTTCGCAGAGGTATGGGAAGGAGGAAGACAAGGTTACAATATCTGGATTGTACGGAGCTGTGCTAAAAAGAGGTATAGGCAGTGCACCTCTGTGCTGTAACCCTTTATGGTCAGTGCTAAACATGCACTGCTTAAAGACCAGTCACTTCTGCTCTCTCTTCTTGTGCAGGATGGCTAGACTTCTCTCTGCCCCCTCCTATAATACAGATCATTTACTGCTGCTCTCTCTCCTTGTACGGGGTGACTGGTCTTGTCTCTGCTGTAATAAAGACTGGTCACTGCTGCTCTCTCTTCTTGTGCAGGGTGACTGGTCTTGTCTCCACCCCCTCCTGTGATAAAGACCAGTCACTGCTGTTCTCTCTTCTTGTGCAGGATGGCTGGACTTATCTCTGCCCACTCCTGTAATGCAGATCATTTACTGCTGCTCTCTCTCCTTGTGCAGGGTGGCCGGTCTCGTCTCCGCCCCCTCCTGTAGTTTTCTACAGGCAGTTTGTAGTGGGTGGGGCCTGTTGGACCCCTCCCACAGCTCCGCTCACTACACAGGCTATGTGGAGCACGGGGATTATGTCACAACCACGCTTACAAGGTAATAATATTTAAATGAAAGTTTTGTGCCTGGATTTTGGTTATTAACCAAGCAACATGAGAAGCTCCCCTATAAGACACTTACATGCATTGGGAAGTAAAAAATGCACCTATCAAACAGATATAACAAAATGCTTTCAATGGTATATTTCACAGACCAAAAAGGGAGCAAATAGAAATTCCTCATCTGGGTTATAATTGTGAACAAACCCTAGGTAACCCTTTCACGACCAGGGGTCGCTAAAACCTGGGGGCCCATTCCAAAGTCAGCAGCATCCCTATGCATTGGTTAACTTGACAATACCTCAATGACTGATTTGTCTCCCCAAATACTATTACATTGTCTGGGGACATATAAGGCCGTTCTATGGTACACAGTCATAATAAATACCGGGCTCAAGATTTGTTTTTTTTAGCCAAGAAATGGACAAATGTTTTCTAAAAATGCATTTTTTTTAAACTGTTACAACACATTGACAAATGCAGCCTGTCATGTTCCACTGTCACCATGCATGTCTTTATGCCAGACACAGTGACAGCTGCAGCCAGCTGGTTTACATTAGGGTTGCACAGATACCAAGTACAGTACTCGGTACAAGTACATGTACCGATACTTTTGAGCTCCAAGACTAGAGTAGAGAAAAATTCAAAAATTAGGAGGCCGCTGTCATTTGTAAGGAGCACACGGAGCTCCTGGGATTTCTACATCTCTGTTTTAATGTACGATTATATATTTATCAATATAAATAAAGGGATGCACAGATACAATTTTTCAAGTACAAGTACTGATACATTTTTGTTTATTGTCATGTGACAGTTTTTCTAGAACAATATAGACTAATGATTTCAGGACAGTGGTGGAGTGCCAGAGCTAGGTCCCAGCTGCAACTGCTGCAACCCTGGTAGTTCTCATGAAAATGCCAAATATCTGCACTGGTACTCGAAAAGTATCTGTGCATCCCTAGTTTACATTTAAACAAACATCATGTGATCACCATGTCTGAACGGCACAGTGATCACATGATCGTTTAGCACTCCGATTGGTTCCTGATGGATAGTGTGACATCGTTGTTCCAGGACTAGGAGTGCACTCCAAATAAAATCTATAGTTACTGGGCAGCACAGGGGCGTTGTGGTTAGCACATCTGCCTGGCAGCACTGGGGTCCCAGATTCATATCCCAGTCAGGACCCTGCAAGGAGTTTGCATGTTCTCCCTGTGCTTGTGTGGTTTTCCTCCGGGTACTCCCGTTTTCTCCCACACTCCAAAGACATGTTGGAAGGTTAATTGGGTGCCGTCTAAGATTGGCCCTGTGTGCGTGTACAATAGGGACCTTAGATTGTAAGCTCCTTGAAGGCAGCGACTTATGTGAATGTGCAACTATGTCAATTGTCAGCGCTATATAAATACCTGTAATAAATATATACTGCCACACATCTTTCCTGAGGAGAGTCAGCGAATGTAAACCTCTCCCTTTCCTGTGCATCAAACACCATGGTTAGAGCTATTACACTAAATGGTAAGTGATCATTCTGATAACACGACTTACTTGACTTTTTGAATCCAGATACAGTAGTCTGTAATATACAGGTCGTTGAGAATGTACGCGGGGTCGTTTTCTTGAAAGATTGAGTGGATGTCCAACAAGCACTTGAGGACCGCGGCCTTGCCTGGAAGTTTGGTAGAAACAGAATAAGTTACAATAAGTCACCCAGCCATCTGTCAGACCTTTCAAGAGTTTTCATTGACCTTGTGGGTCTAATTGATTTTGCTAAACATGGGATAGCCAAAAAAATTGTATGGACCATGCCCCACCTGCTACAGGCTGCCTGTAGAAAACTGCAGGAGGGGGCGGACACAAGACCAGTCACTCTGCACAAAGAGATAGCAGCAGTGACCGGTCTTTATTACAGCCGGGGGCAGAGACAAGACCAGTCACTCTGCACAAGGAGAGAGAGAGAGAGCAGCAATGACCAGTCTTTATTACAGGAGGGGGCAGAGACAAGATCAGTCACCCTGCACAAGGAGAGAGAGCAGCAGTGAGCGGTCTTTATTACAGCCGGGGGCAGAGAGAAGACCAATCATCCTGCACAAGGAAAGAGAGCAGCAGTGACCGGTCTTTATTACACGAAGGGGCAGAGACAAGACCAGTCACTCTGCACAAGGAGAGAGAAGTACAGTTAATATTATGGTTATGTTTTGTTATTTTTTTATATAAACGTTGCTTGAGTCTTTTAATAAAAAGATTAGCAGCAGTGATCGGTCTTTATTACAGGCGGGGGATGGAGACAAGACCAGTCACCCTGCACAAGGAGAGAGAGCAGCAGTCGCCGGTATTAATTACAGGAAGCTCCAAGTTTTTAAACAGATCTGGAAGAAATACACAAATCTCACCAAGATTCAAGCAACAATACACGACTCTTAGGACAATATTTGCTGCTATCAGGGGGCAGCCTTAAATAAAACCAGTCACAAATGGTATCATGCAAGAACGGACTATTATTCAGCATAACTTCACTTTCATGATTTTTCATGTGACTGGTTCTCTTTATTGTTGAACTTCAATATGTCTAACAACATAGAATGAGCATTGCCTGGGACAGAACATACGACTGAGTGCATTACAAGAAGCGGGGTTAAGAGCGGAGTATTCCTTTAAATGGCTCTAGTGCTCCTCACGGCTGCGATTTCCTGGCGCCGCTACTAGCGGGAGATAAAAATAACAGATATTATCTAAACTCGAATGTCTTTTTGGCGTTCCTTCGCGTTCTAATATTTTCGCACCCCCTTCTCTTGGCAGACGACACTCTGGGCTAAAATGCTCTCCAGATTGCATTAAATAAAAACACACATTTTTCAGCCGAGCGCGAAGCCCACAGCCTCCCCACAGCGGCACGAACAGATCGACGCTCGCAAATTCACGGGGCTTGTTGTGGTCAATCGGGCTCCCCACCCAGGAACTTGCTCCAAGCCGGGGGCCATCTGCACAACAGGCCGAGACACGGAGACTGCGCCATTGATGGCTGGCAAACGCTGGCGGATGGTCTGCTTCCTAGCGGATTATTCCAAGAGATGCTTTCCGATCCGAGGACGTCTAGCGGCAAGATTTACAGAAATGGATTCCGTTTTATTGCTGGACCAATATACCCCACAAACTACGTTTGATGAATTGGGACAAAACAGTTTGAATTGTTATCACCCACCACACGCACATTGTTATATTTTTATACAATGACACAGCTACCGTGACAAAAAAGATATAATATGACAATGATTGTAAAATTACCCCGCAGATAAAGAATGTGATTGGGGCAATCTCACGGATCATTAGTGCCATACAATACCTGGAACATTCAATCTGCTTGAATCTGACAATTTTTCCAATTTCATCCAATTTCTGCAATAGCATCTGATCTTACCTGACCCCAATTGGTTCTGCATAATTCAGCCTAAAACTAGCAGATTGTACAATTGGATTTCAATAAGCATGGCCAGCATGGCTTTAGCTCTTACTGCCACCATGCCCAACCTCTTCATCCAGGACCAGCATCATTGGTGCCTGCTGAGGATTCACTTCTGGTGCAGTGTGGTGAGGTTTATCCAGTTAATAGAAAACGTAATGCTAGCTGGTTGAAAGGGGAAAGGGGGGGCTATTGCCAGGGGCAGAAAAGAAATAGACACCGGCACTCCAATAGTAAATCGATTACGTCTATTTATTGACGTACATCAAAAGCAAAATAACACACTTAGTGCGACGTTTCGGGGACACACAGGAACCCCTTCATCAGGCAAAATAAGGAACCCCAGGCTTTTTTTGCCTGATGAAGGGGTTCCTTATTTTGCCTGATGAAGGGGTTCCTGTGTGTCCCCGAAACGTCGCACTAAGTGTGTTATTTTGCTTTTGATGTACGTCAATAAATAGACGTAATCGATTTACTATTGGAGTGCCGGTGTCTATTTCTTTTCTGCATTACTTTGACGGTGGCCATCCGTCGACTACTGAGCACCCAGGATACTTTATTGGACGTGCGGTCAGGAGTGCAATGGGTACATGGACTGTAACCTATTGCCAGGGGCGTCCTGAGGCCAGGTGTCGCCCGGAGAGGATACCGGGTGACACCCTGCCGTGACATCATTGCGCATGCACGGCCATCTTATTGATACCTGCCGGCAGAGAGAGGAGGGGACGTTCACCTGGTGGGATGAGGTATGCCGCCGGGTCCCCTCCTCTCTTCTGACACTGTAGGGCTCTCGGTCCATGCCTGGGTACCTGACTTTTCAGAGGGGGTGCCATCAAAATGACTGTCAGTCATTTTGGCATCACCTCTCCAATGGTGTAACCAGGGTGCGGGCCACACTTCCCGCACCCCCTTGTGACGCCACTGGCTATAATAGGCAAGTGTGCATGATGGCTGACTTAAGCTGCCCATACACCTTACCATTTTTTCTTGATCAGCACAGAAAACAGTTGAGTCTCTCATCCATTCAAAAGGGCATGGATGGAAGAATCTGCACTGTTGGCTACTATATTCTGACAGCCGGTGGCCAAAGCTGACAGATGAGCCCAATGGTGACTGCAGCCGATTGGCTGTAGTCATTGTTTGCCTGATAAATTGGTGCCCAGCTCCTTATACAAAAGTTAAATCAAAAAAATCGATTTTCATCAAACTGGACGGTGCCATCAAAGCCACCCCACAGATTGAATTTTGTTAGATTCAGCAGAAAATGGCCGAAATTCGACCTGTATATGGCCAGCTTTATCTACTAGTGAGCCCTGCTCTCGTGTAGGAGGTTCCAGGCTTGCTGTTGCAGCTCCATTGCCATCCCCCACGTTCTCTGCTGCTTTTTTTTAGATGCGTCATCCCTCCTCTTTAGCCATTGGTCGGCCACTGATGATGTAACTCCTGTGAATGCTGGGAACGAGCTAGAAGTGTATTCTGCTCTGTGCATGCGCCGTAGGCAGCGACCACAAAATAAATATGATGCTAAAAGTTTTTGGGCAGAAAAGACTTTGTGGCCCTTCCCCCCCCCCGAGATCTGACGAACATTTTGTGAAATCTCACGAAATCTGATGAGATCTTGCAGTTTAGGAATGGGTTCTCCCTGGAAGGCACTGGTGACGTAGCCCTGGCCTCAGAGGCGGCCCTTGAGAAGTCTACATCACCAGTGCCTTCCAGGGAGAACCCATTCCTAAACGACAAGATTTTGCCAACATTTCGTGAGATCTCCGGATAAAGGCACCAGTGCTTTAGGGAAACAAGGAACTGGCTTTACAATAGCACAATACATTAGAGCTGCAACAGTTAATCGATTTAGTCGATTAAAATCGACGATTGAAAACGTTGGCAACGTTTTCAATCGTCGATTCGTCGGCTATCGATTGATTTGCCTGTTCGGACTCTGAATCAACATAGGACTTGAGGAGGTTTTGACATCAGCATCCAGAGCTGCATGCACCAGGGTATTTTGTGTTGGGGGGAGGGGGGGTCTACTTTAACTGTTTAAGTAAACTTGTAAAAACAAAAATAAAGTTGTACCCAATCTGAGCAGCGAGATGAGATCCTGGACGGACTTTGTCACCAGACGAAAGTTCCTATAGAGTGGATAGCATGACACACGTCTCCCGAAAGACACCAGGACGTCCTTCACCGACTTGTAGTTCTGTAGGCAGAAAATAAAGCGTTCGGTGTCACTCTACCTCCGTCTAAATTTTCAGGTCAAAATTTAAAGAACTCCGGGCATACAAAAAAAACAAAAACAAACAACAACTCTTACTCTTACAGTGGGGCTATCCCGGCTCTGCAAGGGATGATGCTTTTTTTTGTCTAGGGGGCTCAAATAAAGCATATACACTCGCCTGATCCTTATTCTCTCTGGGCTGATAGACTGGTCTCTGCAGCCTCTTCTTCCCCAGGTTGGGGCAGTCTAAGGACCACGGACTTAATTATGTCTTATGAAGGTCTATTGACTTGCCTTAGATGTGAGGATGAGGGGGGACATTCCCCAGCTGGAGCCGCGGGGGGAGAGAAGTTAGTGCCAAATGCCAGGGGACCGAGGATCGGGTGAGTATTTATTCTTTGTTTGAGCCCCCTAGACAAAACAAGCACTTAACCCTTGCTGTGCGGGGGGTTAAGAAGTACCAGATATTTTTGTCTTTGCTGCCAGCGTTGGAAAGGGATCAGAAAGAGATCCAAGAGAAGGAGAGTGGGAACTGTTCCAGGGGCTGGCACTAAAGTAAACCCGCATTGGCAAAGCACAGGATTACCCAAATGGCCGGGTCTGCAAAATGTCACAGACCAACATATTCCCTGTTTCAGCACAACCCTCTATCTCCGAGCCTACAGCAGCTTCCCCACACACACAATGAAGCCTGAAAAGAAGGTTGCTCTGTACCCAATCATGTGACAAGAGACTGCAGTCCTACCCAGAAGCCCTGCGTAAGGACTGACAAATCCGCCTGCAGTAAATTTAATAATGTTCAGATCGAGCTAAACTGCAGTGTGGGGTTTGTGACCTTAGAACAGCTGAAACACTATCATTAGACATTCTTTAAAGCCAAACTCCGGCCTCCCCTTCAGTCTTGCACAGTTGTACCGGCTCCTCTCCTGGACTGGAATGGCTTCCTCTGATATCACTGCACACTGTGAGCTTCTCGCAATGTGCATTAGAAGCTGCGGCAAGTTAGAGCCTGCCTCATTTCCTGGCCGGTATCATCTAGCCTGGCTGTCCCTGGCCCGCCCCTTTCATTCATTAGTTTTTTACTTCTTCCAATCACATGTAGGCGTTACCTAGGGTGGTCTGCAAGCAAATACAGCCTACCAAGGAACACCCACTCCTCCAGAGTGACACCCACCCATCAAGGCATTTTGATATTTACATAACTCCTCCCAAGAGCCAGCCCACTGCTTGCCACAGGGCTTTGAGCTCTTGCGAGGAGCACTGAGGTGGGATGCTGTGATGTTTTCAGGAATCTATGTACAGCACCTCCCACTGGCCATGATCTGCATTGCATAGAAAACAGATCCAGTGACACCATTGGGTCTAAAATAAGCTATTCAATGAAAGCAGAAAGGTTTTATGTATTTTACTTTATTAGCAGGTTGATTGTGGGGAGGGGAAGGGGGTGGAGGAACCAGGGAAGGCAATAGAAAACCAGATTAAACTTCAGTTTTGAAGGGAACTTGTCTGGACAGAAATATGAAAGCTGTGGAAAGCCGACACTAACTCTACCAACTGGTAAATCACCGGCATAGAACAAGCGTGCAAGGCGCTCCATGCTTGCTTCCTGACTCACTAGTGACTGGCACCAGGATCACCATAATAATCCCAGAGCTTTAAAAAAATAAAATGGCTCCCACACTGCAATCCTCAGAGGTTCACTTTAAGAAGCCTTCTTCCACCCCTCAGTAAAGAACACAGCTGGGACTTCAATGCCATATGACACGAGGACGTTGATAACCTACGCTGGTAACTCGGAGCTGCGAGATAAACGACATCAACAAAACCCGCCGTGTGTAATAACCCGTGCACAGGCAATCTGGTCACATAAAATCATTAAGACGCTCGCGGATCTATTTATTTTTCTCTTCGCAAAACACATCACAGCCAAGCAACATGTGGTATTTATAGAAGACATGTGCACAGAGCTGCCCTTTAAAAAATGATTAATGAGCCGGTTTCGCAGAAATCCGGTGCCGACATAGGGGGGTGTGTGTGTGTGTGTGTGTGTGTGTGTGTGTGTGTGTGATATATGGTCACCGCCGATTGCGGTGAGAGCTGGTGGTGTGCGAGACCTTAACCCCTTCATGACTGAGACCCTTTTTTCCATTTTTGCACCCATGTTATATTCCACATTTTAGGCCTGAAAATGACGTAAAACCCCCCAACATTATATATTTTCTGAATGCCAAGACCCTATAGAATAAAATGGTGGTAAAATTAGACATTTTCAGGGATGTATCCCGTCTGCGAACAAGGCTGCATTTACCGCAGATTAAAAATTAAAACCGCTTTGGCAATGTGGAGGCTCGGAGCTTGTTACATGAATATTTCAATTGCGTTGTACCAAACAGAATGCGCCTCCAGAGGAGATGTCCATGTAACTCTTCATTGGCTGAAGAATACTGAGCCAGGAGTTAATGGTGGAATAAAGAGCTGCGTTCTGCTTTAAGGGAAACTCTAGTCTCTTTTCAGGGGGTACACATTTTGAGCGATTCAAAAGAGGAGTTTTAGTTACATGTGGAACCCAAGTTAGTCGTTTGGATATTGCAATGGCGAGCTCTCTCCGCTCTAATTTTCGGCTCATTTCCTTTCCACCTGGAAGTTTTGGGTGTTCCGAAGTTAGCCTTTTGGATACTGCAATGGCGAGCTCTCTCTGCTATAAAGCTGGCCACACACCTTACAACCATCGCAAGACTTATGTCTTGCGATGGTTGTAAGGTAATTAAAAAAATGTACGAACTGCCCATCTTGGAAAGGTAGATCGTACTTGCGATAATCACAAGCCTGCCCCACTGAGGGGCGGGCTTCCAATGACTGCAATGCTGAACGGGCAGTGTGCGCTTGCGCACACCGGCTCGTGCGGCAGTTATCTCACAATCATGCTCCAAACCAGCCGAAAATTGTACGATTGTCGGCTGGTTTTCGAACATGCTCGAAAGACAAAAGTGGTGAGTATACAGTAGAAACGGTCGCACGCCTTCCATACACCTTTCGATAATCGTACGATCGCGGAATTTCCCGCGATTATTGCAAGGTGTGTGGGTACCTTAATTCTCGGCTCAGTTCCTGTCCACCTGGGAGTTTTGGGTGTTCCCACTCACCTTTTGGTGATCCCATGCTACCCTTTTGAATATTGCAATGGCGAGCTCTCTCCGCTTTAATTCTCAACTCGGGTCCTGTCCACCTGGGAGTTTTGGGTGTTCCCATTCACCTTTTGGTGTTCCAGTCTCTCCTGATATATTCTCCATAATATAAAATACATTCAAAAATTCAGCAGGGATGGTCAGAGCCCCTCAATATGGGTGCAGACCTTGGAACTCCCCAATAGAGTCCTTGAGTGACAGAAGACACTGACCTGATGAACTATACATGGCACAGTGCAGGACACAGCACAATGTATATCCCTGTGCACACAGTGCCCCTGATAAACAAACGCCCTTCCTTTTATTAGATGCATACTGCTGCCTGCACTTCTCCCTCCTCCTTAGATCACTTTCTGATGTGCTGAAGAGAGGAGAAGAAGCTTGCTGTATCATTCCCTGCACAGTGACAGTAAGCTAGGTGTGCGTACACCTGGCTTGCTGTCATTGTGCAGGGAACGATACAACAAGCAAGCTTCTTCTCCTCTGTTCAGCTGAGCACACCAGAAAGTGATCTAAGGAGGAGAGAGAAGTGCAGGCAGCAGAGCAGCACAGAGCTGCCCCCTCTCTCTAATCAGTGTCCTTCCAGACATTTATCAAAGGGAACCTGTTGGCCTCCTCCCAACTGCTGAGCTAGGCAGAGGGAGTAAGGCTGGGTTCACACCTAGGCGTATCGAATAAGTGCGTTTCGTGACGCGCGTTTTTACCGCGATTTGTTTCCGAGGACTACCTGGCTGTATCCCAATGGAAACGCGCGACAAAAACGCCCCAAAGAAGCTCCTGTATTTCTTTGGGCGTAGGGCGTTTTGTAGCGCGTTCATACGGCCTGTAATACGCCCAGGTGTGAACCATACCCATAGGAAATAATGGGATTTCGGTGTTTGAGCGTTTTGTAGAGCGTTCGAACGTGCTACAAAATGCCCAGGTGTGAACCAGGCCTTAGAGGGACTCAGCCCCATGTGCAGATCCGTGCCTAGTCAGACCAAGCTAATATCTGCGCTACATTGCAACACATATTTCTAGGGTGCAGAAACTGCAACATTCCTGCAACAAATTGCAATTTTACAGGTTTTGAGGCACTTTTCACAAATCATCTTCAACAGAGGAGCACTACGTTGACGATTTGGCGCCTGTCAAGTTCACCATAGAAATGTCAGATGAACAACAGTTTATTAGCCCCACTGGTAATTTAACTCCACCATCTATCCAATAGATAAAATATCAGATCCGGGTGCACTGACCCTTTAATGCAGTAAAATATACCTTAAAAGAGAAATGCAGTTTCACTAAACATTACATTTGTTCTTGCCCCGATGCCTGAGAAAAATACCAATATGACGGGTTAACTTTGCTGAAGAAAAATCTGTTTCCAGCATCATAACCAGCCGCCCACCACTGGAGGACGTTGTTTAGAGATGGGAGACCTGCTCGGCACCGAGCTGATAGAACAGCCTATCCCCGGGCAGCACAGCGTTCAGAGCAGGATGTTCTCAGAGTCAGGAGCCTGCAGGCAGTATTGCTGGAAGCAGCAAATCTTATACATCATATTGGCTGCTGGGACAAGGACAAATGTAGAATTTGTACAGAATGCGGTTACAATATAAGAAATATCTACACGTTCAGTAACGTTCCGTCAGTTGTCAACGCCCCTGGCAAGCTGCAGAGAAAAAAAAACAAAATAGGACATGGTACCCCTACCACAACCTGCAGCCTCCTGACTTTTCTTTGCATTTTGTAGTGCTGCTCACCTCCAACTGGTGGTAGCTTTAAGAGACAGGCTGCTCATTCAGCAGAATGCAG